CAAGGATGAATCTGAAGTAGGTGAAAGAGGAACAATCGTGTTTTTTCAAGAGAAACTAGGTTATGGACGTGTAATCGGGCAATGATAACGGTTGCCAAGGTCCGTGAAGCAACAGGCAGAGCCGAGGAAATGGGTGGGTTCTCGGTAGATTTAAAAAAAATAAAAAAAAACAAGGCTGAAAGAGATGAAGGGGGCAGGAGAGCACGTGAAGGCAGGGAGTGTGTTGTCTGAGAGCCATGTGCAGCGGCCGGGCGTGTGAGCGACTGAGGCCGTTTACGTCACTGCATGAATCACACAGGAGGAGGCGAGCGCGCCGCACACTCTACATTCACATGCACGCAAATCCATCCATGAAGGTGAAGTGTGCAACTCTGCCCACGGCCTAAAAATAGACCAGCGCACACGATACACACAGCACGCGCTCGCAAAAAAAAAAAAAAAACACTTGACCACGCGAACCAGGAGCGAATGGGAAGGACATTAATGAGGGATATGAGGTCACAGGAAGCAGGTCGGACGCCGTAGGTCGTCGAACATCGTTCTTCAAGACAAACCTGATCTCAGTGATTCATATATCATAACGACGACTCAGAAACGACCATGCAGTACACACAGGTGTGTAATATACCACCGGATCACTGAATCTTATTTTTGGGTCGTAAACCTGAAGCTGCACAGACCACAGGGACTCACAACAACAATATACTGATTATTATCTTCAGGAGGAGAATACAAATAAAGATATGTGACATTTAACACACACATGCAGGCATACACAGTATACACATTTACAGATACTATACAAACACTCGATTAAACATATCTAATATTCATATTGACATATGTTTAAAACCTGTATTTGTATGTTTATGAATTATATTTTTCTTGAATTCTTCATTTTAATCTTGCGAAGCACTTTGAAAACACACACACACATTTATTTTATCACTTTTTGCTTTTCTACAGCGACCCCTGATCCCTGTGACATAATTAAAAGTAGACAGACACAATATCTAAAGTGTGTTTCACTCGATAAAAAATATTTCACCTCCTCTAAAGATCCCATTCAGTCTCTGGCAGAACTACGACACCTCCATAAAGAAAAGAAGAAAATCGCTTTCACAGAAAATCTCCCATTGATAAAATAAACTCAATACCTGAACCACATGACAGCGATAAGAATTTATAAATCTCCTGTGAACATGGAAACATCATCTCCATACATGAGGCGTGTTTTTCCATCGCAGCACTGAAAAGGTTAAACTCATCAACCTGCATTAATTCCAGAGAAGAGGTCGGAAGAGGTCACACGCGTGTGCACATGTAACGGACCTGAACCCTGCCAAGAATATCCAGGGGCGCAAACAGGCACGACCGTCACTCACAGAGAAGCGGTGTTTGTATAGATGGCCTGTCCCTGTGACACGCCAACATGTGTGTGTATGTACATGTCCGCCTCGCTGCCTCTTCTGACAATAGGGAAACTGGGCTGTGTTAAGTGTGAGCACAGACGGGACATGGCCTCTGAGCACACGTGTCCCAGGTTGATTGTGAAAACACGACAGAAACTCATTGACCTCAACCCACATGCAAACCCCCCCCACCACCTCCTCCTCCACCTCCCCCCCCCCCCCCCCCCCCCCCCCCCCCCCCCCCCCCCCCCCCCCCCCCAGGTGGAGCGGTGAGGAGGAGCCCTGAGCTTTCACACACTCGGACTGAACTTCATCCACATTAAAACAGGGGTCATGACCTCCGATTAAAAAAAGACTCTACTAACTCTGCAGGAAGAGAATTCTCACACTGCTTTGTTTATCTGTGTACATACGCTGCACTTCCTTCCTCCCTTCCTTCCTTTCCCACCGCACAGGATGTGATGTCATCGCTCCTTGTGCAACCAGTGCGTGCTGAAGCTGTGGATGTTAAAGTGTAAAAACTGGAGGGAACGCTGCGACGCTTCAAGACCGAGGTCAGCGTGTGACGAGGATTTAGAGGGAAATGTATTTTTCATTCTCATATGTTCATGAGTGCACAACCACCTGAAACTTCAGGTTCCACTGTTTCCATTTGATCTGGTTAAAGAATCGTCTGTATCCTGCTTTATTATTTCACACGGGTGGAAAACATCCTTTCAGAAACATCTTCCGACTTTCAGCCATGAGCAGACCCCCCCCCTCATCGATTACACAGACAGCTAAACTCCACGAGTCATCAGTCTTCATCGGGGAGCCGCCCGCCACCCAGATTTCCTGGACAAATCCAGATAAGACCTTGGACGTCTCCTCTGTGTTGCACAGCAGCGGCAGATACACGCTGGACGTGGCCGGGGCTCAGGGGTGCATTGATATGTTGTGTGCTTGCAGCCGGACATCACGTGCATACATAATACATGAGAATGTATTGGATGAGGGGCAGTGTCCTGTTTCTCCTTCAGAACTGCTGACCTGTGCATCCCCCCCCCCGACACACACACACACACACACCTCTCTCTGCTGTGTCTCTGAGCGAGTGGACAGGTCAGCTCCGCAGAGGACAGACAGAAATCCTCGACTGCTCTGATCCTGTGAGCAGCTGCGTGGATATTATTAGCGTTTCTATTTCAAAATGTTGAATCGGGGGGGGGGGTGATACGATGAAACCAAGGGCGAGTTCACGACGTGAGGGTTTGAAGTTATGCAACCGTGTTATATGAAAACACACACAAATACTCTGCACCATACATACGAGCTCAGGTTCCACACATGCTCCAACGCAAAAGTTGCTGCTGCACCCTAGTGGTGTCTCGATGTAAATACACTCTACTGACAGTCACCTCACTGAAGGTTTCGCTCTCCGACGCCATCAAGCGGCGACATTGTGCAACTTCTTAGTTGATGAGTTCGATCCGTTCCAGCCATTAGACTGCATTTAACATAAATTAACTTTATTCAGACATCAGGCTGAATCAGACGCTGCCATGGAAACAGCTTTCTCTCTTTGACCGAATGAGGTCGTACTCGGAGAAAGTAATAATCAAATCAAGAGACATGAAGTATTCAATGACCTGGATGTGAACAAGATTAGAAATACAAGATGTAAGTTTTTTATATAATATAATAAAATGGAAATACTAATTACAAGGCATCTTTTCCAAATGTGCATTAAAACAATACAAGTTGTGTGATGGTGCAGTCACAATCTATATTCTCAGAGCAACTCATGTAAACACCATCATCACATGAGGACGATAGTTGGTCACTGTCTCGTTCTGAAGTCGATCGAGGGGAAATTTAACATCTCAACGTAAAACAAGAAACGAGGCTTTGACTCTGCAGCCTCTAGAGGTCAGTGACGTCACGTGAAGCAGGTAAATAAAACCACACCTTTAAAAAAAAAAAAATGTTTGTTTTCAAGAAACAAATCTCTTTTTGTTTGTTCCTCCGAGAAACTGATTCCATTCATTTAAATTCACAAACAACACAGATGAACTGATGAACTGAACACAGATTGTTCCAGAAACCAGAACTGCGTTTTCCTCTCGTTTCTTGGCTTTTTAACTTTGGATTTATTATATTTTTCTTTTTGACTTCGACATGTTTGTCTAGTTTTCATATTGTTTCTTGGGTTTTCCTGCCTCAGAGTCTGATCAGTCGTCGACTTGTGAAATTAAGTTTCTTTAAAAAGTGAAATAGCTCATTGTTAACAGAAGAAGAAGGAACGTGAAGAAGTGGGAGAGAACCTGCGTGTTAAATGTGTTAAATGGGTTAAATGTGTTGAATGATACACAAAAGAAGCAGCTCAAATCAAATCTCTTATTTTCTTTCTCAGCTCTTTTTATGAGTCCTGGAGCAAAAAGGTTCAGTTCATCTGTGTTTAACTGTTGTTCCGTTAAGAGCAATTTCACAACATCGCCTACAGAGGGCGACACTTAACTATTGAACACACACACATACATATATACTGTATATCTCACTCACCTCAGATGAAAGGCCTGGAACTGCTTCTCTTTGATGGGGCGTCTGATGTCAGATGGAAGTGATGCGATGACGATTCTCTCAGGTGGTTTTAGCCAAATCCAATAAATCTTCACCTCGTGGCTTCTCAGACGATGGTTCCTCCCTCGTAACAAACTCAACACAATAAACCAGTTGTTGTGTGTCTGTGAGTGAAACGTGTGTTCGTTGTGTTTCTAGCATCACTAATCCGCTCTGTGACGCTTCTTCAAGTCAAACAAACATTTCATTCCGGGGTTGATTTAGTTTCAGCTCCTGTTCACTCACTCGCCACAAAACCAGCCAGTGCAACAAACACGTGTTGTGGTGAAAGTTGTGTTAATCTTCATCTCGTTCACTTCCTCCCGCCTCCACCTCCTCCCAACACGTGGATTTCTGGATCTACTTTCCTCGACAGGCGCCATGTTGCTCGTCATCGATGACGTCGGTCAGGTGAGTGTGGGCTTCCTTCGCCCTGAGCCTGACCTGACAGGCACACACCCGGAAGTTCCCCTATGGAGAACCTAAAAAGATAAAGTTTGACCAGGATTTTAAAAAAAACGACTCAAGTGATTCTGCTGAAACCTGGTGGAAGGATGGGATCTGACCCAAGAAAGAAACCATCAACTTCTGTCGCTTTCATCATCGATCATATATGTTTGACAACCTGAGCTCTTTCTATACATTTTGAATTTATTTATTTAACAAATAATTAATTTATATGACATTTTATTAAATGTTCTTATAATTCATTGTTCAATTGCCCATTAACACATAGATTTTTATTATTGTTAATATTGAATTAATGAAATGTCTATATAAAAATCTATGACTGTGTGGTCCTCCACATTATTAATACAGATATTTGAAATTCAGCGGTGCCCCCGGGCTGTTCGCTGACTTATATATTATTGAAATATTACCGTATGACAAAGCACATTGTTACCATGACAACACACGGGCAAAAACAAATAGACAAATAAGAACATTTGTTTAATGGAAATTTGACAGAAATTCATTTTTTCAGACAGTTTATTCATTTTGTTTTACAACCAAACATTTGTCTTCATCAAAAAAAGGTTGAACACGTCAAACATATTTATAAGATAAATTATAAACGACCGACAGAGGGGGTGTTGATATTGCACAGTTTCAGGAGAAATTAACTTATTCTAAAATGTTTATTCTTGTTTATGGGGGGGTTCCATCCCAGCTTCACAAGTCTGCGCCTCACTGTTAAATACAATTAAGTTAAAAAATACAAACAGGCATTTTAAATATTCTCAGTTTTCATCAGGGGAGAAGAAATTCTGGCCACGTCAATCAACCGTGTCTCCGAATAAAAGTCAGAACACGAAGTTAAAGCCTCGTGAGTCATCACAACGTGATAAAGGTGCATTCAAAGTGAACCATAGCGGAACCAAAGTGAAAATAAATAGAAACCATCAGAAAATCTACAAGCATGAACAGATCACCCTTATCGTTGCCTCATTTGCATTTACATCTCCGTCCGTCAAATATCTGCTGCTGCCATGGTTACCAGAGTTCAGGAATGCCATCTTTCCGGTCGGGGGTGCGAGCCGCGCACGCTAAACATCACGGCAACAGATCCGAGACTCGCAGGGAACACACTGATCCCTGCTGAGAGCGACTCCACCCACTCCTCATACGGCAACACGTCCAGCACAGCAGGGGTGTCTCATCTGCAGCGGCCGACCACTCGCTGCAGGGCGCCGGGAGTTAGATACCGGCTGTGCACAGCATCTGACCCACATACCCTTATCTAACACACAGGTTATTATTAGCGTCCAGCTGTGTTATTTCTCAGCTTTCATGTATATATATATCTACATACATTTTTAGATATGTAGGTCGCTGATGTCCACACGTGTTGCTCTCTGAGGGACGTCTTCATAGCAACGACTATATAAAGGGACATCGAGCAGCGGACTCAAACGCCTCAGGGGAAAAAAATCAAGGAATTCTTTGGTTCAATGGTCGGATTTATGCCCGGTTTATTCCAACAGGAAAAAAAAGCAAGTCCGATCCAGGTGTTTATCTGAAGCTTCATCAGTTTCGGCCGCTTCCTCTTCATAAAGTGCTTCTGCATCATTGTGAGTCACGTTTTAAAAAGTTTCATCTCTGGTGAAAACGTGGATCTCAGGTCTGAGAACGTCGTCTTCTAGAACAACTGTTAAAAAGTAGGACCACTCTCCAGGAAGAAGCTCCTCCGGACTCTCGGAGCTACTTTGTGTATCGCCCCAGGCTGGATGTGGCCCTCAGCGGTTTCTTCTGGCCTTTGGGGAATTGCCGTAAAACGAAGTCAAAGTTTGCCGATGTGGACATCGCGTAAAAGACGTTTGCTTTGTCTGGGATGAGCAACTCTGAAAACAGAAATCAAAACACGTGTCAAACAGAGATTCTTTACACGTCAGAGTATCTCTTTTTCAGTGGCTCAGCTCCGACCTCTGTTCTGGGAGATGACCTGAGTCAGGGTGAACTCCTTCCAGCTCATGTGCTCAAGGTGATGTTTTTCCAACGCCCTCTGAATCACATGAGCAGTTTTGTCCTGACTGGTCAACTGTGAAAGACAGAATCAGACGTGTAGTTGTGAGAAATACTCCAAGTTTCTAATCATGTAGCTTCTTGATTTAATAAATTAACTGTGGATACAAGATGAACACTGTCTTGCAGATATCCATTTTCCAAATCAGTTCTCGGAGATAAACTCACCAGGATGCTTTTGTACATGTTGCCGTTGCTCTGGGACAAGTCGACGCTCACCCTGACGATGCACGAGTCGGCCACCTGACGGTTGTACACGGGCAGAGAGGTCATGGACACGGAGCGTTTGTGGAGGGAGGCCAGCGAAGACTTCGGCCGTGCACCGCCGCCGCCGCCGCATGACGAGGCCGGCGGGTGAGGGTCCGCCCGGCAGTTGCAGGGGGGGCTGGAGGGAGTGGGAGAGTCTGGAGAGGAGGCGGCGGAGGAGCACGGGGAGGATGACGCAAAGGAGGACGAGGAGAAGGGCTCGGACACGTTGTTGCACGAGCTGTGAAAGGACTGCAGAAGACGAGAGGAAGAATATTGATGAGAGGACATGATGATTTCACATTTGTTCTACAGGGAACAGTGAAGCTACAGAGCAGCAACATTTAACAAACACCTCAACTTAAAACCTGCTCGGATGAAATTCTGCTGCCGGCTCTTGAAGAACGATCTTCACTGGAGGGAGATTATGAAACGCTCAGTGTAATGTTCTCCTCATTAGAATTGCTCCAGGGTTTGTTGGGCGATTTAAAATGGGACAATTGTTCGTGAAGTGTAAATAGTGGATGTTGTGTCAAGCACAGAGACGCTTTAGATGAAGCAGTGTGACGACACTTTCAACAAAGACTCCAGTGTTCCGCTATAAAGGACAAAGGGCGGAGAGAAAACACACACACACAAACACACACACACACACACAGCTTCTTACCTGCAGTCTGATGGAGCAGGCCGAGTTCGGGGAGGAGAGATCCTCCATCTCAGATCCACTGGATCCGGAGGAGGAGACGCTGATCCGGTCGGCCGGGAGTTTCTTGGATCCATCGCTCACGGTCAGGAGACTGAGGACAGAGAAGAAACCCGACAGAAATGATTCCACTTTCTGAAGCTGTTTCATAACTGTCCTCTCGTACTGTGGATCAGCACAACATGTGCTCCACCGTGTTTGCTCTGACTTCAGAGTTAATCGTGTGTGTGTGTGTAGTGAAATGTGTGGGTTTAAACATTCAAATCAAACACTCACCTGGAGAGCTTCTTGGTGAGCGTGCGGTGGCTCCACAGAACCGGTGAGCAAACGTCCACCGGAGGCTCCAGCTGTCTCGACAGTTCATAACTGAAACACAAACATGATCACGAGTCAGATTCTGCACAACAGGCTGTATGTTTTATTTGTGTCACGTCAGCCGGTCAGCAGTGTCGTTAAAGCTGGCTACTCATTTCTTTGGTTTTATTGCAGAGACTTTGTAAAAAATGCACATTTTTATTCCACCCAACAGACACAAAGTGTTAAATATTAAAAGAATAAAAAGTGGCTGGTTAGTGAGTCAGTTCAAAGTTTCCTCAGCAGCATCTTAATCTGAAACAACCGCGAGGAGCACAGAATCTAAAATGTCTCTTATATATATTCAGAAATACTTTGACAATTTAGAAAATAGGAGCGAACTGCCGACATGTCTCAGCGTCGTGATGAAATAAAGTTCATTTACATGCTAGAGTTAGAATAACATTTGATAATAACACCCTGAAATTAACTGAGTGTTTATATTAGTTCACAGATACAGATGTGATTCAGTTGTTGATACTGGACCCAGGAAAGATGATCTGTTGTTTCCAACTTCACTATCAGAACATTTTCATATTTTGCATTTGAAATGTCCGATGACAACATCTTTATGACAAGGCCACATAATAACACCACCTGACACCGAGACGGGATTATCAGAGCAGACGCCATAAATGAGTGGAGCTGGCCGTTCTAACCACCACATTATATAACCAGCACATTGTTTATTGGGCTCCCCTCCTCTCACCTCTCCTGGTCGGTGAGCAGCTTGTGTCCCTGCAGCCAGGCAGCGACTCTGGGGTGATGGGGCAGAGTGTACTGGGAACAGGACGCCTGCAGCACACGGATCTGAGACAGAACCTCAAACTCCTGCAGGGGCAGAACAACGTCACATAAACAGATGCGACAGGGACGCGTTCCTGTGAATATTCGAATACTTTACTGAAGCGGCATCGACTAACAACAAGTCAGAAAATGTTCAGCCGCTCTGTTTACTTTGACAATGCAAACACGCCGCACACACCCAACTCCACAGGAATGTGGCGCTGAGACAAGACGTCGACACCTTTGTACTTTGTTTGTCTGATGTGGAATAATACATTTAAAAAAAAGGGGGAAAGGTTAAAGACTGTTCCACTCACCCTTCGTCTCTTCTCGAGGTTTATGAGTCCACTCTGTCAAAAGAATAGATTTATTTTATTGCATTGATCAATAATTAACTGAAGAAGAAATGAACACGACAGAAACACTTTTTATTGTGACCTCCACAGCAGAGCAGTTCAAATATACAAAGCAGCTGTAATGAGGAGACGTATTGAGGCTTTACTTTACTTTACTTTACTTTACTTTACTTTGTGTAGTTCTTTATGAAAACTACTCATTCACTCTCCATCACAACTGCACACAGTTAGAAGATGATTAAAAGATCATCTGATGTGACTGAAAACTGAGTAAACCTTCCTTAAACACGTGTATCAGTTTAAATTCATCTATTTGTACACGTGTACTCATCTGCAAACATATTTTTAAATATGCTTCACTTCTATGAGGTAATTAGTCACGAGTGTATTTCCCCTCACATGTTTAAAAGTTTTGTCAGTTCACTGAAAACATTTTCCCGACTGCATCCATCGTGGTGAGCGTAATGAGACATTCTTGTCAGTTCAAACATTACACAGATGTGACTGTGTTCTGTACCTGCACGGTGTCGGGCAGAGCAGTGTCCAGCATGGTGAGGACGGTCAGGTAGGTCCCCAGGTAAGGAACCACTCCACTGGACGTACTCTGCAGAGAGACGACATATGAGCACAGTGCACGTTACACAAGACATGAACTACGGATGATGTCTGGACAACTGGGTCTTTTTACATATGAACAAACTCTGCCTCGGACATTTGCGTTGTCACATACAGAGATTACACGGAGTTCAGTGCAGGTCTGAGAGCAGCTCAAGTGTCCGCCCGGTTCCATTGTCACCGCATCTGTTCATTTGTCTTTCAAATCCAGCATCAGCACTTTTTTCCCAAACAGTTCTGAACGAGTTAAGACTGGACGACATTCCCACAGGCTCATGTCCCAGTTAGCAGCACTGTGGGTTTATGTTACAGCTCAGGAGAATGTGCATATGACTCATAACGACCCCAGTCTGGTCTATTATTACTCTCCTATAATCCTGCTGATCTGAGGCTGTTTGAAACTTGTTCGAGGCTAAAGATAGCTGCGGGTCTCTGAGATCCTCCACCCACACTGAAGTAAAACCAGCTTTTACAGCTGAAAAGTATGAAAGAAGTGACAATTCAAATGTTGCACGGAAATGAAACTTTTGCTTCTCAGAGTCTCTGAGTGGAACTAGACCCGCTGGGCTTCTCGTCACGTCTCAACTCTTCTCTCCTCCAGAGTCGGACCTTACCATCTGTCTGGAGATCGGACACCGCTTGGATATCTTTGGAGAAATGTTATCCACGCTGGCCTGGCCTCCGTCCTGTCAGAGGGGGTCAGACGGAGCTATATTCAGTTGAAGGATGTAGGACACAGACACTGGCAAGTGATCAAAAGCCAGTGGTAAATAAAACCAACTGGGTTTGCACGTATGTTTATGTGCAAGATGGGTTTAAAGGTTTCATGTGAAAGTTCCTTATGGAGCAAATTCTTCAAGGTTTATCACACATTAACTTGAACATCCTGTTTAATAGTTATCCTGTGGCAGGGAGGCAGGGAGGGAGGCCAGGTCTTTGTGTGTGATATTACACATGTATGATTGATCGTGTTTACACAAACACTCCCTCCATAAAAAGGCCACGCCTGATTAAAAGTGAAAAGGAGGAGAACAGCGTAATAAAGATTATCTCTGAACTTTTCCAGAGCGAGTCGTCTGGTTGTTGTGTGCAGAGAGAAACTGGTGAACTATTGACTTTAGAGTCCTTTCACTGTAACGAGACACAAGACGCCTCTGACGCAGTCGCACGAAGGAGACTACATGAAAGAAAAGCAGGGAACACAATGTGCCCGAGGCCTCTGGTTTCACATTAACACAGAGGAATTAAGCTTTTTAATAATTGAAGGAGAAAATCCATACGCATGAAGAAAATCATTTCCAAACATGTTTTCAGGAACGCTCTTTGTCGTCAGCCCTCCTTCATTTATTAATGATTTAATTTCACATGTCGACAGAGTGACAGCTCACGGCAGATGCAGCAGGTCGACCTGCACTGGTGAACATGAAGTTTATACAATGCATAAACAGGAATCTTTAATCTTATCGGACAACTGTAGTATTTAAACATTTATCTCAACCTCTTTATATAAAGTCTACAGTCTCACCACTCGACAGGAACTCTTCAGCAGATAGATAATGGATAGCTGTGTTAAAGAAAAGACTTGAGGGTAACTCTGTAAACAATGAATAAAGGTTATTTTCTCCTCACCTCCCCCAGCAGCTCTCTGTTGGTGAGGACACAGTTCTCGTCAGGGAACGTCTCACACAGGTTATTAAACGTGGACGTGCTCTCTCTGGAAAAAAAACAACAGAAACAGTAAATACACAGCCATTAAAAAACGTTTAGACACTAAAATGATCAACCAGTCTTCACAACAACAGGTTTCCAGATGTTTCACTTCACTCCTTGCTCCAGATGTTCACAGCACAAACATGAAGTCAGGCTCCACGTTATAATCACTCACCACAATGTTTGTGACCTGATTATGGCTCAAAGTTATTTGCTGACTTGCTCCGTCAGTGACAGTGAATTGCTCAGGACGAGAGGTCGATAACCTCGTTAAAGAACAAATATGTAGGACACGATATGAACTCCACCATAGAGACGTGGTTGTGTCCCGACATTACCTGCTGACAGCCGCCCAGGTCTTCCTCAGCCTGTAGACGGCGTTAGACTGAAGCGCCGACAGAATCGCCCTGAGAGACGAGAAGTTCTTCAGCACACGACATTCCTGCAGGAGAAGCAATTTACAATCAGTGGATCCACTTGACATGAAATCAAATGTTCCAGTGATCATGTTGTTTCTGAGTTTGTCCGACCTGCGCTACTCTGATCCACTTCTCGATGATGCGGGCCCTTTGTGCAGGAGTGGTGGGGGGCCGGCAGGCGGAAGTGGGACTGGAGGCGGGGTCCTCGGGCTGGCAGAGCAGCGACATGATCACCTGGCTGGTGACGGCATTAAACTGGGAGATGGTGGCCCGGATGGTGGGAGACATGTTTTCCTTCTTGTCCCTTTGAGACCACACGCAGCCCAGACACTGGTAAGGAACCACTTTGACAAAAAGAGCCTGAAAACCCATGAAAACCATCAACCATCAATCATCAGCTGTTAATCGAACTATGTGGAACAGAGGACATGTGTAAACACGGAGCCGCTCACGTACAGAATCCATGCGGGTGAGCTGTTCGGCAACGGCGGCAGCAGAGAAATCCATGATCCCACCTGGATCCAGAGAGTTTTCACATCCTGAGTCGTCATCACCAGATCCCTCGTCCTCCTGATCCAGATCCGCCGGAGCAGAACCGACGTTCGTCTCCGGTTCTGAACAAACACACGGAGCGGGAATCCAATGAGCAAGAGGGTTTTCACATGTACACAAAGGGCCTCATCCCTCTCAGCCATGTTATACCTTCTCTCTGGAAGCTCTTGAGCAGCGCCTCGGCTTGCCCGGCCAACGAGCAGAAGTTGGGTTGGCTGCGCATGTTGTCGAGCACCGCGGAGCTGATGCTCAGGTGATCCAGCAGCAGCCTGAGGGCCGAGTGCGTGGGAGGATCCCTGAGGTCCTCGCTGAACTCATCCAACCACGTCTGGATGAAGGCTAACAGAGGGCTGGGGACGCAGAGGGACAGTCACATTCAACCAGAGCAGCAGACACAGCAGATACAAAGTGGCTGCGGGCTCAGTGTCGTCCTCTTACCTCCTGTAGCTGTCACAGATGTCCAGGTCTGACGCAGCGTTGTCTCTGCAACGGTGAAAACAGATTTTAAAAACTTCACGTTGCACTTGTCTGAACCCTGAGAGCTATTTTGTTTGTCGGTTGTTTTTTTTTTTTTAATTATTATTTTTCCCCTGCCCTGCGGTGATCCTGAACTGCAGTCATGCCAGCCGCAGCCTAAAACCACTCTGTGCACAATTGTTGTTGTCAGAGGCTTCCAGATAATGAGCACCTGCCAGCTGCTTATTATGACATCAAAGCCGAGAGCAGAGAATCGCTCCGTCAGGGAAACGAAGTCTGAAAAGCGCCCGGACACAACGTGGTGACGTAGCGTTATTAAGTTCCCAGAATTAAGCACAAAACATTATGTTGTGTTACCTTTGGAAGAGCAGCTCTATGAGCGTGGAGCTGCTGGTGAACGTTCTGTACGTGGAGAGGAAGATCTTGCTGTAGTCCTGCTCCTGGTAGCTCGGGTCCAGGACGTGGTTCACCAGCAGCTGCAGCGTGGCGGCCTTCAGACGCCGCACCTTGCAGGTTCGGTACTGGACAAAAGCGCAGGACGGGTTCGCATCATCGGTTTGGGGGGCGGAGGAGGGGGCGGGCTCCCGGCGCAGAGTGACCCCGTACACGGCGCCGTCCTCAAACTCCTCGCCCCACTCCTGCACTGGGTTCTGGTGATGGCAGAGGTGAAGAAAAACAATGTTCAAAAACCCGGCTTGTGTCATGAAAATACACAGATACTGGTCACACACACAAATACGTATCTAGTAGTGTTACTGGTCACAACGCTAAGGTCAGAGGTCGAGCCACCACGAGGAGGTTACAATAGCCGCAGGCCTGGTGAACCAACACACACACAAACAAGTGACACAACCCCACTGAGAGTCACACTGATCCCGTGTGAGCCACAATAACTACGTAATATTTGACTCATCATCAGTCCTGCAGCGAGAACACAAACACGCGAGGGTGCAACAATTGTTGAAGTCAGGCGTACGTGCACTTCACGTCCTGTTTTCACAGTTTCCCTGCAACGGGGAAGAAGAGAATTCCAGGAGTTTTGAAGGTGAACACGAATGTTTAGGGACAAATAAGAGGATTATCAAAAGGTTAGTGCATCAAAGCAAAACACCGGAACGGATCCAAAATGTCAGGAGTCTGTTTCCTTCATCGTCACCTCCACATCCACACTAGAGGTCAGATGTTTTAGCTGAGGTTTTATGGCGTAAATGATCTCCAGTGTTTCATCGACAGAACACAACATACGTGTCTATTCAAGCCTAAAAGCTATTTTCTTTATTTTACTCCCGACGAGTCGCCTTTAAAAACCACTCAGTGGAGCTCAGACCTCATCAAACCACATTTCAATTCCCTAGATCCAGATCGTTATCGGCACCAAATTACACAAACACATAAACGTCAGATTTTTTTTTTTATCAAGATCTCTGAATTATTCTGAGAAATAAAAGAAAATGTCACCAATATGAGATATGAAACTCAGGTCAACGAATCCCAACTTTTAGAATTTCTTGTTATCGCTCGTATCCGAGAGATTTCGCTTGTATTTCTTCAAAGTGGGAGGAAGTGGAGACGCCTCTTTATTCCCAGGCCCTTTAAAGTCCCACATTATAAACATGAGAGTCGGAACGAGCTCATGTTTGACTAATGTCTGATGCTCTGGTTTATATGCAAATGTTACACAAATCCATACAAAATTAAAAACAAGTGTCCTGAGCTTTAAGATCACAGATGATCTGACGACACCACAAGCGTGACTCACTGCAGCGAGGAGGAAACAAACAGATATCATTTCAAATCAATTCACGACACGACTCTTCTCTTCTTATGTGAAGGATGATTTCTATGTCTTTATGTTTTACTTGTGTGGTTGCCGGTGTTGACCAGTATCACACAAACACTATTGTCCAGCACGGAAACTAGAACCATTTGTTCGTTATGCAGATGTGAAGCCTGTGTCAGTGATGAGGTGGTGGCACTAAGCGCAGCACAGATCCGAAGCAAACACACTACATGACGTTAGATTACACATTAGCCAGAGAGGCAGCAGGACAATTCAAGTGTCATGTGAAAACTGCAGACAAAAAAAAAAAAAATACATAAATCTAGACGTGCAGGAAAAATACTTGACCCCAGCAAGATCCACATAATCCTCATTTATTTGGTTTGATTCCGGTGGAAATGGAACGAACCTGTGACTCATGTGTCAAAATAACCTGGTTTGTCTTTGTGTCACTCAGCCTGGAGCAGCAGTGAGTGGAACAGACAGGACAGATCATGGAGCAGCAGCACGACTCCTCTGTCCTGGACTCACACAAACAGACTCAGTCATAGTCTTGATCTGATGCAACAGCAGCTTCTGTCTCATGTGTGAATATTTCACATTTGAGTCACACAGAGATTCAACAATGCCTCTTTGAAAAACCTAGAAGGTCTTGTAACGTCTCTCAATGAAACTAAGATCCTCTAACAAGAATCTGCCTTTATATCATTATTTAAAAAACCTATTTCTGAAGTAGCACCTATTTATGAATTGTTTTAAATTTGTATTTTTGTTTTTTATATATTTCAGATATGTTAATTGACATACTAACACGGTTTCACTACAACAGTGTCAGAGTTCTACAGGAAACTCCACATTTTCTCTGGGGTACTTTTAGTTCACATGTATTATTTTTTAAACTTTCACATTTGAAGAATAAACAGCAAAGAGTCAACTCATCCCAGAGCCCAGGATAAAAAACTATCTATCAACAGGCAACTTTTTTTTTTTTTAAATAAGAATAAACAGCAAAGGGGAAAAACTTCCACCAGAATAAAAACACGATTCATCCACAGGTGTCAACACAAAATACGAGCCCGCAGGAAAACTCCACATTTCACATGTTAATGAGACAAACATTGACCCACATGACAAAGATTCATCTCTGCTGAACTGAATCCTGCTGAGTTGACTTTTCGGTTTTCTCACACTCACCATTGTCAGCTCCCATTTTCCCATGACGTCCTCAGGTGTTAGACTCTGCAGCTCCTCATCTCCTAAGGACCGAACGTCTACTTTAAGGCTGCATGTTTGGAATTATACAAACTTATTCTTCTCTTGTTTGAAGCTACATGAACGGATAAAAACCACAAACTGTTCTTTACATTTCACATCTGGATTAAATCTTTTACATCTGGATTAAATCTTTCACATCTGCTTCGGTGTGGAAGGTTTTGTTTCCTCGGCAGAGAAGAGACCGATACCTGCAGCTGAGTCTCCTCAAAGTGTGTGAGGACAGAAACAAGCAGCCTGAAACTCACTGAGCTGCTGTGGGAGGAGACTCAGTGTGGGAGGAGTGTGTGTGTGCGTGTGTGTGTGTGTGTGTGTGT